ATTTTATAGGTAATCAAAAGGATGAAGACCAGGCAGATACCGTCGGTTGTTGTTCATTGCGTTGTGAACATATTGAGCTCCACGAGGAAAAAGATGGCAAATATTACGTAGTCGTATTCGATTTTCTTGGAAAGGATTCTATTCGGTACTATAATGAGGTGCCGGTAGAAAAAGAGGTCTTTAAAAATTTACGGCTCTTTATGGAGAACAAGAAAAAAGGGGATGATCTTTTTGATAAGTAAGTTTCATTGAGGAACATTTTATGGCGTAAGAATCCTTTGTCATTAATTCTGTCATCTATTGGGGTTCTACCTTTTTTCATCCTATGGTCAATCCTTAATTAATAATACCTAATTTGAGATATGGATTAACTATTTAATTCATTAACACATATTTTTCATTAAATTATTAGGTCAGTTTTTCGTAAGCCTTTGATATAACATAGTGGTTTTTCTTTGTGTTAATATCATCCAAATTTTGAACGAGTGCATGAATATATGTAGAAATGCATATATACTTACATACCCATTCATGCTTTCAGGCTTAATACTCAAATCCTGAACAAATATCTAAATTATTTGATGAAAGGACTTACAGCCAAAGTTTTCCGTACTTATAACGCCTCATGGACTCTGCAGCGACAACTCGACGAACTAACGAATGAAGATGACTCGATTGCCGAAAAGATTTTATCTTACAATAGAGCCAACAGGGCCGTAGCTGTATTATGTAACCTTCAAAAGTAAGTTCAGTTTCAACGGAACCGTACAAGGGGTAATAGGGGCTCCCTTGGAGAGTAGTAATAATTTCTAGAAGATATTAACAGTTGAAAATCGAATTTCAACTTTGCTATTAAGCATTATTTTGAAATTGTTCCATGTTTAATTAGGAGCATATTGGAATACTTAAGCATTCAAAAAGAAAAATTGCAATCTGCTTCAAATTCAAAAGTCCCGATAACCAAATCTACTGATAAATTCTAATATATCTCGGTTCGGTATCGCTTCTGTTTATACCCGAATTTCGTTTTGCGAATCCTAAAATGAATGCACTGATGGCACAAATTAGGCCTGGGTAACTCAGTGAATTTTCATGAGTTGGTGTAGTGCTGCGCAAATGGCTTGGTGCGTCAACTCACTGGCTCAGATTATCTTGCAGTAAACTCGTATATATGTGGCTTTGCTTTTAAGCGGTGCTGGGCGTTCAATTTTTTTCCTTGCTTTTACTGAAGAGACGATGATGATTGTTTTAATGAATGGAATAAATGAAGGAGCAACATATTGTCTTCTTTTAAATCCTAGACAACTAAGCGCACAAGCGAATTTTCGGACAAAAGATCCGATTATTTGGATGATTGAACAGGTGTCGGAATCAATGTCAGGATCGTTGATACAACATATTTATCATTTACGATTATTTCGTGCGGAAAAAAATATTATTTTGTAACATGTGTAGGAAGGCAACATGGCCAGTGCTTCAAGTTGTGCCCATACTGCATAATTTTTATGACATACAATTCGAAATTCGGACATTAACAGAACCCAACCGAACTGAGATAAACAAAAATCGACGACGGAGATCAACGTTCGTGACTCTGTCAGTTTATAATATTTTTAATGTACGTGGCTTCGAAATTCCACAATCGCACAGGCGGCGTTATAATAACACGTTCAGAGGCGTTCTGTGCTTCCCAGCCTTCACAAACTTGCAATTCGAAGTCTGCCACCTTGAATGAAGTTAAAACTGATGATAATGAAGTAAGCAGAGTGGGTGCTGCCATCTATGGCATGGTGAATGATGACCTCCACAAGCGCAGTTCGAGGTGCGGCGCAATGAAGCGCGGTGAGTTTAACTCACCAACTCACAGAGCGTTTTCGACTCAAAAGCGCAACTCAACACAGTGTTACCTAGGCCTAGCACAAATTTAAGCAGTAACCATGCTGCCTACTGTTAAACACACATGTTATAAAATAATGTCTTTTTTCAGCACGAAATAATCGCAAATAAAAATTGTTATTTCAACGATTTCCGACACCTCATCACCCAAATATTCGAATCTTTTCTCAGAAAATTCGCTTGGGAAACCACTAGGCTTTAAGAAGAAAACATTTTGCGACTTAATTTATTACATTCATTAAAACAACGCAACCGACGTGTCTCATAAAATATCTTCAGTAAAATCAAAGAAAAAAAGATTGAACGCGCTACACCGTTTAAAAGCAAAGCCCATGACGTAAAACTATACGATAACAGCACATTTATCGTATGGCCTAATAAATATACGAGTTTACTGCAAGATAATCTGAGCCGGTAAGTTACTGCGCCAGTTTGTTGGCGCACCAAGCCATTTGCGCAGCTCTACGACAACTCATAAAAATTCATAGAATTACCCAGGCCTAATCGGGAATCTTATGACTTCACGGCCTTCGCGAACTTGCAATCCGAAGTCTGCCGTCCCGAATGAGATAAAATGTTATAATTCTTGCAACCAGAGTTGGTGCGGCCATCTTTGAGCTGGTGTGAAGTCCGCCCAAAACGAAGTTCGAAGTGCCGCGCAGTGAGGCGCGACGTGTTATAGCTCACCAACTCACAGAGCAGCATCAACTCAAATGCGCAGCTCAACACAGTGTTACCCAGACCTATTAAGCATTCAAATACAATCTTAACTGTTTCAATCGTATATTTATTTTAATACTTCGTATTGGGGTTTCGGCTATCTGTTATCATTATTGCAAGTGATCTATTTGTTTTCAGAGCGGTACCAAAAGGACATCAAAGATCGATGGATAAACTGAAAGAGAAAATCGATTCAAAGCGTGATCAAATTGAGGATGCTAAACGACAAGTGAAAGATGCACGAAGAAAAGCTAAACATGGGAGCATTAAAAAGAAAATGGTTTACGACAATAAAAAGAAAATGCTGGAACGACTTAAGGATCAATTAGCCAAACTAGAAATTAAGGTAAATTAGAAATGCCTGAATAAAAGTATAAAAACTCCTTTCGCATAGTTGCCCACGACACCTATTTTATTATTTGACTTGGTGAAGTATTAAACTCAGCGGCGGATCTAGGAGTTTTTGAAGGAGGGAACGCAGTAATAACGAAATATTAATTTTTTGTAAATCACAAACTTTATTCAGCAATAAATAAAATTTTGTTAAAATTAATGCAACTGGTCGCTTTATGCACTAGTATTTATATAATATATTACTTAAAATACTTTGCATGTTAAATAATGAAAAGTATATGCTTAGGGGGTCGCGCGCCCTCTGCGCCCCCCCTAAGCATATACCCCCAATGGAATTATAGCTACCGGATTATCCGATAGTTAGAAAACCCATGAGTTAAACACTGCTATCGAATAATTCAAATGAATTAAATTTTAAATTACAACTATCAAATAATTCGATAGTTCTCATCACTGCAAATTATAGCTATCGGATTATCCGATAATAGTTATAAAACAAATTAATAAAACACTGCGATCCAACAGCTAAAATAAATTACATTTCAAATTAACTTATTCTATATATTACTTAACTATTTTATTCGATAGTTTCTATCACTGAATAAAACATTGCTATCGAATAATTCGAATGAATTACAACTATCGAATAATTCGTTAGTTCCCATCGCTAATTATTTGTTTGATATTCTAGAAGACTGATCGAGAGGACAATAAAACAATTGATTTCGAGAGTTCAAAACTGAATTATATAGACCCTAGAATTACAGTTGCATGGTGCAAAAAACACTCGGTTCCAATTGAGAAAATTTATAACAAAACTCAACTAGAAAGATTCCGATGGGCCATTGATATGGATGGGCCCGACTATAGGTTTGACAAAATTAAGTAATTCAAGATGCCTCAAGCAGTGTCGCCGTATACTTATTTATTGTTCAAATATTTCCGTTCGCAAAATGAAGTACCATTTTTGCGTAATGTAATGTTGACCATACTTTTGTTTTTGCTAGGGTTTTAAGTATTCTCTTTAATGCATGTGCATAATTGTTTCATTCATTTTGAGCCGTTTAAAGTAGCAGGCTCATATTATTATTTTTTATTGTTATATTAGATCACATATACATATACAGGGTTGCTCATTAGTGCGTCAAAGTGCTATATCTCAGTAAATATGAACTTTACAAGAAAATACGTCCTACGAAAGTTTTTCATGTTTAAAAGGTCCACATTTTAAAATTACTTTCCAATATACGGGGTGTATCATAAACGTGTGGTAGTTACCAACTTTGGTTTTTTAAATGGAACCGCCCCTTTTTTCATTCATTTTCAGATTTGTCGTCAAAATTTAAGTTAAGTTTGTGTCAAACGTTTTACCTGAAAAATTTACGATTTCCGAGTTATTCGTAAAAATGTGAAAGTTTTGACAGCT